AATGCCGAGGTTAATAGAAAGTCGATCCTGGGAACTATTACAGGACATCATATTGATCAAAAAGACTAGTCACTGTGATGCTACAAGAGGGACTGCGCCACGCGTTCTTCATGTGGGGTCGCGAGCGAGACACAACAAGGTGTCAGAATATCATTTTGAAATAAGCCGCCAGGTCACGTGTCATAGCGAGGCATTCGTCATTCCACTTAATCTCTGGATTTTTGACGACTCTTTTAACAAATTGCCAACTATCTCTTATCAAATTGCAAACTTTTCTTTATTCTACAAATGCAAATGTACGCGTTGACAATATTGGTAGTGGTCTAACAACGCTTTGAAAGGCCACTATTACTGAAATCTCTTATCAAATTGCAAACTTTTCTTTATTCTACAAATGCAAATGTACGCGTTGACAATACACGTAAAGTCACATTCCAGTCATCAGTGGCCTAACATAAGTTGGTCATCATGAACAATCTGGAACGTCCACGCAGAATGATAATCAGAGAGAAGGGGTCAAACCAATAATCTTGACCATTATGTGTTCACCTATGCATCCTTTTCCTCCAGGAATCTTTCCCTTGTCGCGATCTTAACCGTTCGATGTGGCCTAGTAAAGTGTATATCAGTATACCTTTCCAGTCTCTGAAGAAGGCGTTACTGCCGAAACGTCAGCNCCGTTCGATGTGGCCTAGTAAAGTGTATATCAGTATACCTTTCCAGTCTCTGAAGAAGGCGTTACTGCCGAAACGTCAGCTAGTGTTGTACTGTATTGTGTTTCTCTATGGAAGTAAATGTATGCTGTTTAACAACCTTGCAACTGCTCAACAAGAAAACGACGCATTCATGTTCCAACGCCGACGTTAATAAAAAGTCGACCCTGGGAACTGTAAAGTTTGCAACTTGTTAGGATAGTCCGGTGAAAATGACATTTCAAAGCATTGTTAGACAGACGAGAATAAAGACACTTGGATTTGTGGCTTTTATTGGCGCGAAGCCACTTGGACGCAAGAAGAACTGCATGTCCCCGAAATTTGTGCTTTTTAAGGTTACAGCCTTTCACACAGTACTCGTTTGCGCCTTTCCGATTTATTCCTCTCGGAATTCAACCATTCAGCAAGCAACGTTGTTCCTTCGGGAGCCGATCTTTCTTCTAGGAATCCAAAATGTTGTTTGTGAAGAGAAACGAAAAACAACAACCGCAGAGCACTGAAGGATTCTCTTACTCATCTGAGTTTAACAACTGTAGTTTTGGCTGCGGCAATAGCAAATGAATTAATGAGAAGCGTAGTTTTTCAATGAAGAGCCACACACCTTCGATATGAGACTCCTCACTTGATTTTGACCCCTTTTGGTAAGAAATTCTCCCGCATTGCTTTGGTATTAAGGCGACGATCAACCTGACGTAATGCGTACGAACGACCATCAATGGACAACTGCCATCAGCAACTAGGTCCCTTGGGATATCAAGGACACTGCAGGAAGAACACCGATACGATGGTTTCTCACGAAAATCCAAGAAATGGGATATTATGCCCAACAACTTCCTAGAAAACGGAGAACCTACTGGACAGCTCTTCGACGTGGCAGTTGGGAATGGAAGTTTCACGCGTCCCGGTCCTAGTCATCTGACGATGAACGGAACGATACAGATGGTTGTTTTATATTCTCAAACTCGTGTAACAGTGCTGCTCATCAACTTGTAGAACTTATGAGAACGAGCAGGATGTGTTCTGAAGGAACTAATCCGCAACGAAGCCTTCTATAAATTTGTTGTTCAAGACTGCAGTATTATAATAGACTAAGAGAACCCAGTGGAAGTGAATATAGAACGAAAAAGTTCGAAGTTCGAAATCGAAATGAGATTGGAGGCCGCGGACGTCCTAACGAGCACGACGACGACGAATTGAGCGCACTAGTAGAAGCAAACGCGCGAACAACTGTTCCAAATCATGCAGAACTTGATCGGATTGTGACCGCGACGAGAATGGAATCTGTACGACAACCGGCGACGTTCAGCTGACTGGTAGATTTCGATCAGACTTCACAGCACTTCCCAAGGCAGAAGTTGCACAAAAAAGGTTACGGTTACTGTTTAGTGGCTATAACTAGGCTGATTTATCACATCTTTTCGAATCCGGGCGAAACGACTAGGGCAGAGAAGTATTACCAACAAATTGACGAAATGCACCGTAAATTCCGACGACCGGCATTAGTCAGCAAAAAAGCACCAATTCTTCTGAACGACAACACTCGGCTCACGATGAGGAAGTAGTGCTGCAAAAGGTCGACGAGCTTGCCTACGAAACTTCGTCTCATCAGCCATATTCATCTGACCTCTCGCCTACTGACCACCACTTCTTCAAGCACCTTGACAACTTCCTGCGCGAGAAATGCTTCATTAACTACGATGAGGCAAAAATTATCTTCAATCAATTCCATCGATTCCAGAACTCCAGGATTTTATTCAGTTAGAGTAGAAAAACTCGTTTCTGGATGGAAAAGCGAGTAAATTCAAATGGTTTCTAATTTGATTAACAAAGTTCTGTTAGAAGATTTTAAATAACATTGTTAAAGACTGGTCAATCAAGTATCCAAGTAGATGCATAACAGTACTAAAAGACGTTGTTTGACGGCTACCAGCTTTAACCAAATAGCTTTCAAGGAAAGAAG